AAAGAAAAGAGGGAGGAGGGGGAGGAGGAGGAGGAGAAGGAGGGAGGGAGGAGGAAAGAGAATAGAGAAAGAGGAAGTCGAATTAAAACAGATGAAGAAGGTGCAGGAGGAGGAGGAGAAGAAAGAGGATGGCTTAGAACTAAATTTGAGGAACACCAATATTTATAATGTATGCAAATGAAAGAAAAAAATCCACAAAGGAGCCAGAGAAAGACTGGTCTCTGTGATAGCACAAAAAGTGTCTTGTAAGCCATGGATGGAGTGGCTCACAGACGAAGAGTAAAGAGATCTAACATGGTCATCCCACTGGCATGCCGGAGACCACAACAAGCATGGTTTGGATAGAGCCACGGGGTGGGAAGAGTGGAAGAGGAATGAAAGGAGCCCAACGCCCATCACCAGCGTAAGTTGTGTTACACTCAGACCAACAGTGAGGAAGAAAGAATCACAGCTCGGCAACCAACAAGGATGAGTCCCAGAAGCAATGCTGAGCAGATGAAGCAATAAAATATACTTCAAATATATCAAGGTCAAAAGCAGGTCAAACTAAATAAGATGGAATTGAGGGATACATAAATAGAGAAAAGTATAAAGAAAACAGGGAATGTATAACACAAAACTTGGGATAGTGGTTCACTGCAGGGAGAAAAGAAAGCAAATGAGATTGGGGACAGGGATCAAAGAGGGACATGGTGGCACATGCTTGTCATGCCAGCTCCTCGGGAGACCTTGACAGAAGGATCAAAAGTTTGAGGCCATCCTGGGCAATTTAGTGAGACCCTGAATCAAATAAAAAATAAAAAGGGCTGAAGGTGTAGAAGGTGTAACTCAGTGGAAGATCACCCCTGGGTTCAATCTCCAGTACCAAATCAAACATCCAAACACACACACACACACACACAGTGGGCTTCTAGGGTTGGGTCATGTTCCATGTCTTGATCAGTGGTAAGTTCACAGGTACATTTTGTTTTCTTCTTTAAAATATACATATTTTGCATTTGTGCTTTATTTAACATCAACACAACAATGTGTGTGTGTGTGTGTGTGTGTGTGTGTGTGTACACGGTGAGGTAGGAAGCAGGCTAGCCAGCCACCAAAACAGCCAGAACAGCAGAGAGCTCTTTTGCTCTTAATGGCTGAACTCAAGGTCACATGAATCAGCTCTCTGGGCGGCTTTCTCCGGCCACATGCCCTGTTCAGCTAGGGTACCAAGAAGGCAGAGTTCACTAGGGGACGGGGTATGAGCTGCCCAACAGAACTGTCTGCAATGATAGAAACGCTCCGCGTGATCTGTGATGCCAAATATAGTACCTAACAGCCACATGTGAGCACTTCCAGGGCAGCTAGCAATACTGAGGAACCCATCTGAAGTTCTATTTAATCATAATCAATGTAAATTTAAATAGTGCATTCAGCAAAGTCACAGGATGCAAAATTCTCCTGCATTTCTATACACTAGCAACGAATGATCTGTAAAGGGAATTAAGAAAACAATTACAATTATAAGAGCATAAATAAGAATCAAACACACAGGGATAAATTTAATCCAGGATGTGGAAGATTTGTACAAAGGAAATTAAAACACTGCTGAAAAAAATTAAAGAAGATATAAATAAACACAAGACATCTGGTGCTCAAGGACTGGAAAATAATATTATTAAGAAGACACCAGCACCCAGAGTGACCCACAGACCAATGCAGTCTCTACAGAGCCCAGAAGGCACTTTCCACGGCAATAGGAAAACCCGCGGCAATAGGAAAACCCATGGCAATAGGAAAACCCACGCCAAGTCACCACACATACCTGACCATGTATTAGTGCCACTTTAAGAAATAAGGACATTTTTTTTTTCAGAAGGGAAAGGAGGGAATCAGAGCATAAGGACTGCATAAAGACATGTATCTTGCTGAGTCTAGTGACCCAAACCCTCTTTGGGGGTTTTAGACCCTGTGAGCCGGGTAGGTGCCCGGCACAGGGCACATCCTCAACAGATGTATAACCAATGAAGGATCCAAGGGACATTGTGACAACATGGGAGACAGGAGTGACACAAGAAAGTAAGAGACTATGCAGAAATGCTGTAGGTGACCTTGGCAAGTCACCTCATGTAAACTGAGAAGAATAATGATAATTTCTCTCCATACTTCAATGAGCTTCTGATAAGGTTAGAAGCAGTTAAGAGCACGTGTCTAGAAGAGGAAAGTCTGCTAGCTGGGTGACTTCAGACCGATTATTGAATAATTACTAATAGTCCGCAGACATTAATATCTCCTTGCTAGCATGTTTGCCTGGATTATGTGAGATCATGTAAGTAAAGAATTTAGCCAAATCTGGCACATAATAAGTGCTTGAACTATATTAGCTTTTCTAAGCAAAGATAAACAAGGCCTGGGATATGAAAGTGCTTTTAAAAGTGCTGCTGCACCACAGCAGAATTCTACCAAAGCAAAAGGTAGGCTCTGAACTGGCTTCAGTGTGAGGTCAGGCTGAGGGTTATAAGACCAGACTGACCTACCTGGAAACCATACTCTTTGGGGAGGAGGAGACTGCACGCCGGTGTCTCCACTGCCAAAGTCCACTTCCAGATGCACACTTTCTGCAAAGGAGAGCACAGTGAGAAGGCCTCTGAGGGCTGCTGCAGAGAGCTATGTCCCTTGTGGTGACACAGTAACATCAGGCAACTAAGCAATGGACCACAAGCCAAGCCACAAAGCAGGAAGTGCCAACTCTGCACCATGGAGTCTGGTCATCTCCTGGGAATACTTCAGAGGCCAGCTGGCTGGAGCAGAGCTGACTGTGGGGACACCTGACAGGTTGACCAGCTTGCTGAGGCCAACCCAGAGGGCCCTTTACCTGGACTTCAGCGTCTGAGATGGTTGCCAGATACTTGGCATCACGGGTAATGGCTATTGCACTAATGCCATTACCTTCTGGGCAGCTGTCAAATATGGTGTGCACAGGAATCCTGCAAAACAGGACAGGGAGGAACAGCATCCAGCTCAGCTCAAACCTTCCAAAAACACAGCAAAATGTGGTCTATCTACACAATAGGATATTTATGTTTAATTGATTCATTATTAATCACTAATAACAACATAAGAATATCTGTATCAAGTTAATTTATTCATTATTACTCACTATTCCATAAAATGGAGTGAAGCCCTGACACAGGCTACAATGCAGACAAAACTTAAAAGCATGATGCTAGCTGGGTGCGGTGGTGCATGCCTGTGATCCCAGCAGCTCGGGAGGCTGAGGCAGGAGGATCTCAAGTTCAAAGCCAGCCTCCACAAAAGTGAGGCATTGAGCAACTCAGTGAGACCCTGTCTTTAGATAAAATACAAAATAGGCTGGGGCTGGGCCTCAGTGGTCAAGTACCCCTGAGTTCAATCCCCAGTATCCCTCCCCTGCCCCACAAAAACACATGCTAGTGAAAGAAGACAAACACAAAGGCCATGCATTCTGTGGTTCCATTGATATGAAATGTCCAGAGCAGGCAAATCCAGAGACAGAGAGCAGATGTGGTTGCCAGAGGCTAGAGAGCAGATGGGAGGCTTCTGCTCCTACTGGGTATAGGGTCTCCTTCTGAGGGGATGAGAATGTTTTGGAACTAGACAGAAGGATGAGTGCACAACATTGGGAATGTACTAAACGCCCAACCACCTGCACACATCCAAATGGCCAATCTTATGTTTTGTGAATTTGCCTCAGTAACAACCAACAGCCTAACAGGGAAGAGAACACGAATGCTGTGTGTTAAGAGCTCACCCTGCACGAGCTCTAGTGGCCCTGTCACCTGTTTCCAGGTGCCAATTCAATGTGAGTCGCTTCACCAGGCATGAAGGATGCAAATATAAAAACCACAACTAGGACAAGGCCCAGTTCAGGAAAATGGGTGCCCCCTGCACACAGAGAACAAATAAGCACCCCCTTCCTGGAAGCAATGTAGCTGTGACTATCTGAATTTTAAACCCTATCTGTACTCTAAGGCCCAGCAATTGCAACTCCTGTAACTTTTCTTAGAGAAATAATAGGAAAATTAAACAAAATAAACCAAGATGCATCTTCCTGGTGACGCTGTGTTAACAGCAAAATGAAAAAAAGCAAAACAAACCTGTTAAAATAAGAATTATTTTAAACTATTATGGCAAAGCCATCGAGTGGAAAAACTTGGCTGCCACAAAAAGAATGTGATAGATCTGAGAGAGTGACCGAGAACTTTGTGAGAAGAGCACATCACGAAACAAAGCCATAGTGTCATTTTGACTGTGGCACACAGTGTGGATTCACCTGATTTTCACAACAATCCTGTGAGAGTCAGACGAACAGTGTGCCCCCAAATTCCTGTCCACCCAAAACCTCAGGGTGTGAGGGCATTTATATGTACGAGAAAGGCCTGTAGGAGTGACTGCAGACTGTCCATGGTGGTTGCAGTTTGGACATGGTCTGGCCAAGGAGGGACTTTCCTTTTCTACCTGCACGATTCTGTACATGTCCCTGGTAAGGACTTACAACTGTACAGCTTAGGTGGAGCTTGACGTGTGCAGAATTTAAGCAGATGACCTTGACATACCTGAGACAGACAAAGAAAGCAAGAAACCCCAGCAGCCCTGGAGCAGGTGGGCTGTAACATGGGGTTGGGGGTCCACATGCTTCTGTTGTGAGGGGAGAGTGGGTGGCAGTAAGATGGAAGCCAGGGGCTGGGACTGTATCTCAGTGGTAAAGCACTTGCCCAGTGTGTGTGAGGCACTGGGTTCCATCCTCAGCACCACATACAAATAAATAAATTAAAGGTCCATCAACAACTAAAAAAATATTTTAAAAAAAAGATGGGAGCCAAGCAGGCTGCGCCCCACTTTGTTCCACTGTGGTGTATACTGTTCACAGTGAATTTAAACGGGCCTAAGTTTGTCACACTGGCCTCCCAACTGCCTTAACCAAGTCCGTGTCTCAGCTGGGGCCTACTCAGGTTCTGTCATTTCACAATTCACTTGAAAGGCAACCCTCAAATTCTTGGGAGTGATACAGTGGAGTTCTCAGTGGGAAAATGTATCTCATCTCTGAAGACATTTAGAATTGAACATGGAGAAGTCAGTCAAATCCATAGAAGTAACATATTTATGATAAGAAAATTTGTTCTTCTTTTTTAAGGAATGCATAATGTTTAAGAGAATTTGACATATCAAAGTTTCTACCAGATTAGATTTGATTCTAATTTAAAACACATAGTGGATTTAGACTTATGATTTTAAATTGAAATCCTATTAAGTTGTACAATGTTATAACACTTAAGACAACTTAAGATTTGCCATATTTGTGACTAAATTTATTAGATTTCTAAGAATTACTTAAGTACCAGTGAAGAATTTGTTAGACTACTAAAAACATGTAAAACTGAATATATTAAATTTATAAATGCAGTTTAAAATGCTTAAAAAAGAGCTAATAATCAAATTTGTGAAGCCAAACATTAATCCAAGCTTTCTCAAAAGTGATTACAAAAATATGCTAGATTGAAGCATTTTGTTTGTAATCTGTCACTTTAATACAGAGGATATTAATTCTAAATCCAAAACATTCTCTGAGTAATCTTTTCTGGGTCCCAAAGCCACCATTTGGGAGATCACAAAACTTGTATCCACATTACATTTGAATTGTTAATCACAGATATGCTTTATTTTCGATTTCGAAAAAAAAAAAAAAGTCACTCCCTTCAAGATGCTGCATCTAGCAGGGGAACAGCTTCATAATGAATAAAAGATCAACAGGCCAGAACTGCTCATAACAGGCCAAGCTCTGTCCAGGGGAAGAGGCACAGGTGACAGGCCTCTGCGACAGGTTCTGTGGACATCCTGCTGCATGAGGTGGTAACTTTCCCTTGTGGCCAGGTTGGAAAGAGCACTAGGAATGGAGATGAAAGCTAGCCAAGACTT